GTGAGGCAGGTGCCTCAGGCCTCTCTCTGCCCGCCTGGGAGCGGAGAAGGGGAAACACTCGCTGCAGAGCACCGGGAAGAAGGCTGAGGTGGTTTTTCTGGCTCAGGAGGGGAGCAGGAGCCTCGCAGGAGCCGTTTGGAAACCTCCTCTGTCTTTCAGAAATGGCTAAAGGCTTTATTGCTGCAGCTGCCCGTACCTGCTCTCCAGATACACAGCCCGTAGGGCCGTCTGTGGTGGTGTTCAGAGTGAGCGAGCGGTTACCAAAAGGCACGTTTCTAGTAAGACGGACTAATCGCCCAAGCCAAGGTAGTTGTTGTTGTTGCTGTTTCTTCTCTAAAAAGTGCCAGACTGGTGCTTTTTTTTTTTTTTTTTTGTGGTTAATCACACACACAGTAAACTACTTCCTGTCTCTTACTGTGAAAATTGGCGACTCTGACATCTGTTTCCATGATGTCCTGCACTCCGGGTCAGAGCTGTAGGGGCGTATAAAATGGGCAGAGCGGACCATTCCACTCCGACAGCTCCAACGCTGATTAACAATAGGTGGAAGAACCCAGAGGGGAGTGCTGGGAGACGGCACCGCAGTCAGTGTGACGCAGCGTAGCCATAATCTGGTATCACAGAATCTCAGGGTTTGGTATCTCACAGCTCCAGGTGCCACCCACTCTCCATCAAAAGAGGAATATTCGCCATCATCTTCCTCTGCTCGGGCGAGGAACCTGTGCTGGGATCACGAGCTGCCATAGGAAGGGCCCTGCTTTGAAAGAAGCCGTGTGATACACTGGGTTAATCTACAGTTTCCTCTTTTCGGTACCGTTCTTTCTGGGCATGCTGTGCCTTCTGCCTCACAGGACTTCTGCAAGATGAAGTTCTTTAATGAGTGGCCAAATGCTGTGTTTTTACTGATGCCCAAAATGCATGTGTCTCCCTAAAGAGGTCGTGTAAGGCCCTTCTTCAGAGGGCTTTGGGTCTTCTCATAGTACAGTAAGAATGTAACGGTCTGGGCCATATTCTCAGGCAGTGCAAATAACTGACCTATTTTTTTAGATCAAAATACAAGATTAATTATTAATGACAGATTTACAAAAGCAGTTGTAAATATTTAGTCCCCTGCGAGATGAACGTTTGAGGAACTTACTCTGTTTTCTAGCCCCTGTTAATTGTGTCATTGCGTTGAGCCATTCAGCAGTACACAGATCAAAGGGCAGCTGTAAAAATGGCATTTAGTAGCTTTCCATTAACTCTGTCCAGATTATGAAAGGACTGTGCCAAGAAACTTCTGAGATTTGCTATTCCCACATTGTGTACCTTTTGGTGTTGGTAAACACAGTGTGCTAGGCAAAGCAATGTTTGCAGAAAATTACTGCGACAAAGCTCAGTGTGAGATCCTACTGGAGGAGGAAGGCGATTATTTATTTGCAAAAGCCCTTGGTGAGCTCATTTTACCCATTCAACTTTATTCTCTCGGATTTTATTCACTCACACTATCACAGCTAAATACTTGCAAGTACCAAGGGGCATGTGCACAGGTGCTCTGCCCAAAATTGGAGAGGCCAGGGACCTTCTGCTGTCCCATCCTCACTTTCTTTTCTTGGGTTCCTCTCGGTCGGTGGTGATAGACAGGGAGGGTTTTGGTCAGGTCTGTTATGCCATCTCGCAGCCAGCAGTTTCTGTGCTGCCATTTTTTTGCCTCTGAATTTTGCTTACTTGGTGCTCCATGAATCTTAGGCAGGAGTTTTTTGCCCATTTTCATTTTCCTGTTTTGGGTGTCTTTTCAGCTGCAGCCTCTCCCTCTTTTGGAACAAGGGGAAGAAGGACAGGGTGTGCGGGCTGGTGTGACCTGCTGGCCATCCTCTTGCTCTCAGAGTGTGCAAGTCATCTGTGCTGGGCCTTAGCTGAGTGCTGGCCTTTGGGGGGGTGTAAACAGCACCTTCCCCAGTTTTATTGCTGTTAACGATGTTCTTGGTTGTCAGCACGTACCACTGTTTTAGCCTTTGGTGTTTCTTCTGGTGCTTTCACCCCCCCCACCCCCCCATTCTTTCAGTCTTAGTATCAGCCAGTATTTCAGTTACAACCTGTACATCTTTACAGAGCTCAGAAGTGTCACAAACCATGAATGTTATCACTGGTGATATCACAACCTGGTGATAGCTCCAGCAGGAAGGACCCTTCTCCGTTTGGCACGCAGGCCTAGGAACAACCTCACATCCGTGACTCGTTTCCCTGACATTTCAGTGTCAGTCAGTGCTGTCTGGATATAGCTTTGTAAGATTTAGTTATGGCATCTTCATTAAAATGATTTCCCCATCCCAGTCCCTCCCCCAGCTTGGAGCAGCTGACACTGGTACGGATCGGTTCAGGTCTGGTTTTCGGGTTCTGGTAAAGACAGCCAAGGGGCCACCTGCGATACATTGAATAGTCAAGGCAGAACGAGGAGCTGATCTGCTCACCACCAGCCTCCAGACCTTTTCGCTTCACTGTTAAGGATATGCTTCCCTGCATCACGTATTTTAGGTGACCCTAACCATCTCCCTCTAACTGTTCACCGTATGTCACCACCAGCAGAAGCACGTAGGAGAAGAGGGGCACCTGGGAGTTGCATCTCCAATAGCCTCCATCAGGCGTGTGCAACACTCTCCCTTCAACTCCACAGTACGGATTTTGTGATTAGACCAAGGCAACTACTAAGAAAACAGTTATTTGAGGTGCAGTAGCGGGTATAGCTTCCAAAAATGCCTCCAAAAATCAAATGAGCCACGTACAAGCTCATACCTGCTTCCCCAACAGACTCGTCATTGCACAGTAGCTGTATTTCCAGCTCTTCTACAGTCTATTGCTGTGATGCACAGCTCAAGTAACATCTAACCCTCTGTCTAGCAGTTTTGCTCAAGCACTAGGCTGGGCATGATCAAACATGCAACTTGTCAGCCACTGCTGTTGATTTATCAGTCGACATGAGGTTGTTCTTGTACTCCTTTACAAAGCACAGAGGCAGCAATCTTCCGTAAATGAAAAAAATGCACTGAGGCATCACTGCTTGGAGTAATCTGCGTCTTCTCCAGTTCTCTCCGCTGCCTTTGCCCAGTCAGTCCCAGCACCTCCAGCCCTGGGCCGGCCGCGCCGCCGTTACCAGCACCCTGACCCTGCTGCAGAGCTGCACCTTGGACAGGACTTCAGCTCTGCACCTCCTGCTGCCAGGTGGCAACGCACTGTAAACATTTACCTTCATCTGAAACTGCTTCAGGTGCTTCTCCTGAATGTGTTTATCAAATATGATGCGTGTGTTCTGCCAACAGCACAGCCATCGGCTGGCATGCCTCCGCCGGGGCAAAGTCCGCAGGGCACTAGAAGTTGTTAAAACGCAGCAGAGAGCCGATAGTGCTGGGCGTGTGCTCTAGATCTCATCGTTCTGATTCTCTGCTGAAACTGAAGACCTTTAAACACCACGGGGAATGCTTTGTGTTAGGAACAGTGACCGGAGCAAGTGGTTGTATGCGATGTCAGTACATACGTGTTCTGATCTCCGAAGTAGCTTGGGAATTTACCGGCTCTGAGATCTGCCTGACACCGTTCTGTTGCCTTCTGAGTACTGAAAATGTTCCTTCCAATCTGCTTACCAGGCTCAAATCAGAATTTATTTTCAAAATTTCTGTTGGAAAAACATGACAGCCTATGAAATACAGTTACAGATATTTTTTTTATCTCCAATGATATTACTGGTGATCATGGAGACTTCTCCCAAGTACTCTAATGCATCCAGCTAGTTGAAACCCTGAGCAGTTATTTTGTTGTCTATACGTACAGTTAAACCCTGCAATGATTGTTTGAAAGCACTGAAGATGATATTTAGAAAAAAGGCAACTTAAAAACAGTATAAATTATGGGAACAGATCTTCAGAGGAATAACACAGAAGACTCTAAAACTACCTGTCTGTTTGCTGAGGCGGTTGTTACAAGGCTCCTGTGGTCAAACAGAAACACAGCTGGATTTTCAACAGAAAGATTCTCCTTTTTTAGTCCCAGCGGCCATCACAAATCTGACCGGGGTGAGACAGCAGATGAGCGTGCACCAATGTCGACCACCACATCATTCAGCAGCATCCTTGCTACCCAGGCTGCCGGTGGGGTTGCTGTGGGCAGACGGTGAAGCTTGTGCCTCTGCACGGCGTCGTGTTTCCAGGGGCTTTATCAGTTCCCGGGGGGGCCTGGTAGGTACATGAAGTTTGCTGCTGTTGTGTCAGAGCTGAAGAGCAGAAGCATCGGAAAGCTTTTTTTTTTTCTTCCCCTCCCCAACTGTATCAGCCAATCTAGTGAGATACGGTACCTGGCATGGAAAGCTGCTTCAGCTTGAGGAAAGGAGGTAAAAGGGTTTGGGGAGATTTATTGCAAGTGGAGGAAACATCGCCCTTTCTTTTTTTTTCTTTTATTTTAATCCTTTGTATTTTCTGAAACAGCAGCAAACTTTTCTTTAGCAAGATCTAGAGCATACTGTATTTTGTATCTACTGCAAGACAGAGAGCTGTAGCACTTCGCAATTAAATGTCCCAAGTAGGCAAATTAATACTGAACCTTTGACAGAAACTGCTTATCACAATGCAGTGCTTCAAGTTCAGTGGCTTTAAAAAAAAAAAAAAATGCAAACATAGCTTATATGTACTCTTTGATCTTGCAAAGAGATTTCATTTTCCTTCTGCTCCTTAGTACGCTTTACGCTTACTGATCTAACGGCAATGGGTAGTTTTCATTTGACAGGGCTACTCAAAATATATTAATTAATAACACTGGTCACAAGTTCTCCCATTTTGCATAGCTGGTGTATATTTTGCTAAAATATAGGCATTTTTATTGTGTGATTATTGAAAACCTTTCTTCTAAACCAACTTGTGGTCCTGTGTAGATTGTAGAAGGCTTATTTCTCAAGAAACATACTAAAGAGGTTTGGGTGCCCTTGGAAATTACAAGGGACAGAAGAAACAGGAGTTTTGTCAGCTTCATGGGCAGTAGGGGATTACAGAAATGGTCATAAAATTTAGTGTCAGTTTGGTTGTTTTAGAAGGCGAAAAGTTAAAAACAGCAAAATAAGCAGGAGGTAAAACATCATCTTTTTCCCACTCTAATGTTTTCTTATGTTGCTGTTCGTAGGAGTTTGTTTGGTATGACTATAGCAAATGTGACAGTAATTCATAGTTCTTAGCACATTTTGTGCCATATTTTTCCTCCTTTGAAGCACAAGTTTTATCTACTTTAATTAATTACTTGTGATACGAGGATAGTAGACTGAGTTTACAGATAATCACGTACTATTTATATTGCTTAAGGGTTAATATCAAAGCTCCCATGTGAGTGTGCATGTATGTGTTAAGAATTTAGTAATGTATATGCTAAGAAAATTTTTAAAATTTGCACTGGTTGAGAACATTTTTAAAAGAAACACTGAGCAAGAAAAAAAAATATTTTGAGATCTTTTGTTTATGTGTACAATTTTATGTGCCCATTAGTAGCTAAAGGGACAACACATATTTTAGCACAGTCTGTTTTTTAGAGAAGAGGTGATGCAGATGGGTAAAGCAGTGGGAAAGGTGAGGTGCTGAATTACAGTGAGAGCTGAATATATCAGTTTATCAGCACAAGAGTAACCAGATAAGCGTTAGGTGCTCCCATGCTTTTCATGATAAGAATTCTTTGCCTGGGACCAAAATTAAAGCAAAAATAATTTGACTGTTTGCTAACAGTTTGCAACATGACTTTTGTTAGATCTGTTTGTCCAGCAGTAATTATGTGAATAAAACATCTCTTTGGAGCTTGAAGATAACGACATGTGGGTGCTAAATGATACGTAACAGTGGCTACAGCCCAGTCCTGGCCAGTCCATCAGCAGTGAGTCTCTGCTCTCTGGAGTGATTGCAACCACAAAATAATATTAATTGATCAGCAGATGGTAGAAGTTACAGTGGAGGCGGAACAAAGTCAGAAGCTGGCCTTTATTCAGCTAAGTGCAACGTGCAATCCTAGTGAAGAATTGCTGCTAGCAGACAGATGAGGGTAAAATTGGTAAGTACATGGTCAGGGCAGAGTTAGAGATGACAGAATTAAGCCTTTTCTGTCTGTGTGTCTGGTTTTTGCTGATAACCTCGAGGCACCTTTTTCCTTGCAGTTGCTCAATTAGATAAGACATTGAGAAATAGTTGTTTTGCAGCTTACGGGGATGGAAGAGAAGCATTTTGTCAGGGAAGCTGAAATAAATCCGAGGGACTGGAGACCTGTGTGTGGTGTGAGATAGCAGGGCAGCAGCATTCATGTCTGAGAGCCACAAGGTTTCTCAATTGGCCTTACTTTCTTTTCCAGAGACATTCTGGGCCTTAGGGAGATGGAGAGTAGCGAGATGATGCTGTGGGCTCTCCCTGACTTCTTGCAGAGACTCCCTCCTCCCCCAACACTCCCTTCATTGAAAAAAATAGACAATTGTCTATGGACACAAATAAGTCTGGATTGCACACAAACGGGAATGCAATTTTGCACTGAGATTTTTTTTTTTTAATGCTCTCTAAGGACTGGCAGAGGAATGCTTCATATTTAAGCCACCACCTAAGCCAGCGCTTCCACCTCCTAGAGCCCGTCGCTGTCTGCGAGGCAGCTGGTCAGCTTACGGCAGGACACGCGTCCACCCGCCGTGGGCATCCTGGGTCTGAATGAGCATCGCGGTGGGGACGCATGAGTGTGAGGAGAAGGGGGATTGCCCTGTGCCACTCACCACAGGGGACCGGTTTTATGGATCTGTTGCATTTGGGGCTGCCAATCTAGGCAGTTCAGATTTGTTTATAAAATATGTTTGAAAGCTGAAAATAAATAAATATTATTCAACCCTACAAGGGGAGGATTAAGTAAAACAGGGACAAGTGAAAAGCAGAAAGAACCATGAAATCGCAACAAATACCAAGAAATACTGACTGATCACTTGGATATTTGTTTGCAAATTACAAAAAAAAAGTGCTATGTGCTTTGTAGCCAAAAAAAAAGGAAAAAAAAAAAAGAACAAGACAAACTGCTGGTAACATTGACCATCTTTACTAAATGACAAATCATTCTTCCTGGTTATCTTCAAAAATCTCTCTGTAGCAAAACTCCCATGGTCAAATTGTCTTTTGAGCCCAACTTTCATGGGATTAGCAGGCTTGGTTGGTTTTTTTTTTATTTATTTTATTTATAATTGTACCTTCTCAGATAACTCAGAAAGGAAACTGGATATATTAATATGATTAAAGACTCATATGTTGGTAGTCCAGTGTAGATTCCTCTGCTGAATTAAAGAAATCAAGGCCATGCCTTTAAGCTCCATTCCTTTCCTCCTATGTGTCCGTCTACTGATTACATTACTTTCAGATCCTTTAAGCTGGGATTTTTCAAATGATGCACTGTGCATATTTGCAGAGCATTCATGTGGCTCTTGATTTAATGGTCTCTATTAAAGGTATGCATTATACTAATCCTTCTTTCATTTTTTTTTTTTCAGACAACTGAAACGTGACTATCCCAGTGCTGTAGTTCTTAGTACTGATGACTTCTTTATCGAAAATGGCGTATACATGTTTGAGCCTGACTTCCTAGAGGATGCGCACAAATGGAACCAAAAGAGAGGTGACTAAACTCAATCCAGGGGTTTTGCAGAATAGTTTTGCTTTTCAGTCTGTCTTTAAACTTAGCCCCCAAAATAAAAGATTTCACAGTGGTGTCATACACTGCAGTTTATGGGGTACTGGCTAAAAAAACGCATTTACCACTTCTGATTTTATTTCTTCTGCCTTGTAAGAGAGAAATTTATAAGTGAAGAAGTGTTGGTGATTGATAGATGTTATTTTAGAAGGACTATTAGGTAGCACTGCTGAAGCTTGGTAACAGCAGGTGGCATGCAAATACCAGCCCAGCAGCTGCTCAGTACAGCTGTACGCACCACATCCCTCAGACTGTAATGGCTTAGGTGTCTGTCCTGACTTGGAAGTGGGTGTTACAGGGGGGGAGTTAGTGATAGCCAGGAAGAAAACTTGCAAACCTAATTATAAGTTTGAGAATGAAACAACCCAGGTCTCTACTTCAGAGAGAAAAATGTAACATGCTTTTGTGGCTGTGTGCTGGACTCATTTCTAGCAAGGGAAAACATTTTGAGATCATATAACAGGGATCTTTTGCAAATAACTAATTTTCAGCTGTTGTAAATTCCTAGTGATACTGCTAAGTATGTTTTACGAGGAGTTCAGATCTTGCCACTGTGCGCAGCCAGCGGCTGCATCACCTCCTCCAGGAGAGCACCTGCTGGGCCCTGACCTCTGCTCACGATGGGTGGTAGCTACAAAACCGTCTGGTAGGGAACCAAGGGTGCTGGCAGTGGGTGAAGAGAGGACACTTTGGGGCTAGTGAGACCTGGCTCGGTCTGTTATTTAGTCCATGTTCACTTTACTTAATGTGTTTGTTACATTACAGCACGCAAGGCAATGAAGAATGGGAAAAGCCCCATCATTATTGATAATACCAACATCCATGCTTGGGAGATGAAGCCGTATGTGCTGATGGTAGGGAAAGCTCTGATTTATTGCTTTTATATGCTCAGCTATGACATTTCAGAGGTGACCTGACTGAAACAGTTCTTAACATGGCTAGAAAGAATTACTTCTATTTGCCCTTAGTTCTCTAATTATAGCTAATGATTGATCCTGTGAAGAAGTAGGGGAAGAGGTGCCAATGTAGTTGTTTTATCTTGTCAGCCATATACCTCAGTGAAGACAAAATTACTTGAAAAGATTGTCTTTGAACTTGCCCTGTAACTTCTTGGCAATCAGGATGTCTTCCCCAGTACTGACATGAATTGAACAGTTCCCAAACTATTTGTTGACAAAGATACTAAGATATGACTAACAATTTTAGTTTATGACTTGTGAAAAATAAAGAGTCTTCAAAGACACATTGGTATCTCGTGTCAGGAGTTCTGGCAGAGATGGCAATATTTTTTAGTACAGTTTCATAATTTGGCCTCTCTGCTAACACTATACTCATGCTTCTGTTCTTGGGTTATGGTCTTGTCAGTTAAAAAATTTGGGTCTAAGTATTGCTTGTATGGGAGCACAAAAGCGGTGGGAATTCATAGAGGTGCTGGAAAGCCTGGACATGTCACTTCAGCAGCAGTTGTGAATGCTTGTGGGTGACTAGGAAGCAAGTGAGAGAGCACAGCCAGAGGTGGGCCAGATGTGAAAAGGTCAACGGATCTCCCTGCCTCCTTTCCACTAAATCAAAACAAAAGCAATCAATACTGTATTAAATATATATTATGTATTTTTGTGTGTGTTGTATGTGTGTATATGTGTGTGTGTGCACATATATATACACATATATGTGCACAAAGATGTTGCTTTACCTTGAAAAAAATTGAGGCCTGTAGACTCAGTGGCTGGAAATAGCGGGACTGACAGATGTTGACCTCACGTTCCCAGAAGCTCCAGATTGCCGTGGCCAGCCTGTGGCTCTTGAACCATCTGTGACCTCCAGAGATTTCAAGTGCCAGGGTGCCATTGCCACGGGGGATGGATGGGGACTGGGGGCAATGCTGAGGCAAGTTTTGCTGGAAGACCCAAATTCTTTGATGCAGAAGAAAATAACAAGCTGGGACTCAGCTTGATGGGAATCACGGTTATCTTCCTTTTTCTGGCTCCTGGTACATATGATACATCTCCTAGCCAGATAAAATCTCAGCGGGTCTGGCAGATTGGCTACTCCTGAGCTCGGCAGCCATATGTCTAAAACGTCTGTGTCCTTCTTCAGGCACGTGAAAATGGATATGAAGTTATATTCCAAGAACCAGATACACCCTGGAAGTTCAATGTTCAAGAACTGACAAGGTACAGCTTTTTCTCTTTGATATAGCAGACAGCTTCTCATTTTATTGATGTGCTCTGAGGAAGGCCAGCCCTTTTCCTCTTCATATACCCTAAAAAGTAACCTAGTAAATGATGACAGAATGATTGTCATGGAAATTTTCTATTACTCAGTACCTGCTCTGCAGTGAATTCAGCCCTGAAAGAGCCTGACCGTGCTGAAGTGAGTCAGGTAGTAGAAAAAGCAACGCCCCCCGCCACAAAGTGTGTATTTCTACTGCAAGCTTCTTGGGGCAGGAACCCTGATTTGCATTCTGGATTTTGAGCAGCACTCTTGTGTTTGGGCAAAAAAACATGTCTAAGCACTACAGACAATATTCAGACTTCTGTTCTTAAAAAATCTAACCATCACAAAGATTGTCTTGCTGTGGGGTGCTACATTAAATGTGGTCAAGAAATGGGGTGCTGGAGGATCTTCCTGAAGATCTTGGCATGCACACACAAAAGGGATACAAGGAATCTACCAAATCTACATAATGTGGTAGGATATAGAGGGAGCCAGATGTGGCTCTAAGTATGTTAGTTTGGCTGGAGGCTGCAGTGTTAATGGTTGTATCACAAAGAACTCCGTGCAGGCTAATTTTCTAGCCTTTAACCAACCCGCTGTAAACTATGTTACAGTAATGAGTGCACTCCTATCTATTCGATCCAGAAGCTAACACGTGCTAACTAACTTATTTGTTATCACAAGGAAGCAGGGCATGGGTACTTCATTCCAACTGATGTATTTGTTTTATACCAGCTAGGAACTCCAGTCAAAAGTCAGCACCAGCTGGGAGGCATTTGTAGGGCACCCCTGCAGAGACAGATTTCACTGGTGACCATTCATTATAGGCTGAGCTACTCGGTAACTTGTATTTTGATTTATTAATCATTTGAAACAAGTCAGCTTTTTATAGTAGCATCGTAAAGTTAATCCAAATACACTTGGTTTGGAGCAGCTCTTTGGCAAAGGATTCAGGGGCAGCTGAAGGTTGCTCCCAGTCTGGTTCCACATCGTGTCTTTACTGGCAGTAGGGTTTGTGCTGGTTGCTGGCCCCAGGCACAGGCTGTGCGTGCGTGGCTTCTTCGCAATTGGGATGCTGCAGCTGGCAACCTGCTGCGGTGCTGTCACCTTAATTCCACCAGGGAAAAAAACGTGTTGAGCCCTGCCGGATTTGCACAACACAAGGTTTTGAAAATACAGATGCAGGACAAACTTAGATTCTAGGTCACAGGTTGTGCCTTAAAGCTAAATGGCAAAAACCAAAGTTACTCAGAGTTTGCAAACTCACAGAAAAGCAGAAATTCCTAGTGGTCTTTGGAAAAACAATTCCTGCTGACGTGTTGAGAGACTGTGGCTGTTTCTGGTCTCTCCAGAAAGCCCTGCATGGTTGAGTATCCTGTTCCTCTCCCTCTCAAACAACTTGTCATTTACAAATCTGCCCTGGAGCCTGAGCCATGTCAGGTATGATTTTTCCCCACTTGTACTCAGACAAAGCAACATTTTTTTGACCTCTATACTTGCTGATTATAAGTCAGTGTCTGGGCTATCTACAGCCCTTGTCTGCATTTCTCCAGATGTACAAAAGCTCACCCTGAGGCTAACAAGCCATTAGCACTAAAACCCAGCAATACTCACGTGAAATAATAGAGGTCGTCTACGTAGCTCTATGTCTAACTTCTTACGTCCTGGCTGCCCACAAAAATACTTGTGTTACATGTTTCAGTGGTCACAATAATAATAATTTGAAGAAGTAGGTGGAAGTGAACAACCATTTGGGAAAAAAGGCTAGAAATAGATCAGAGGGGACATGAACCACTATCCTGAACATGTCAGAAACCTTAGCAAGCTTAAGGTAACCTCTAATACATGGGCAGCTAAATACTTGTGTCTTCTGTTAATTTTGACTCTACAGAAGGAATATTCATCATGTCCCTCGACAAAAGATACAACGGATGAAAGAACAATATGAGCACAATGTTACCTTCCACAGTGTTCTTCGGGCTGAAAAACCAAGCAGAGATGAGAGAAGCTCCAGTGGACCAAATGCAGCTCATGGCATGGGTGCCCATTCCAACCCCCCTCCAGCCTTCTCGAACAGAAGACTTCACGTAGCACGTACAAACAATATACCATTTAACTGAAGAGGTGGATTCCTCAGTGTATATTTTAATTATCAGGGTATAAAAATTTCTAGTTTTACATTTTTTTCTAAACTTTTTTATTCTTGTATTTTTCTAAACTGTTTTTTATTCTTGTATTTTTCTACTACATTTTTAAATCTCTACTACAATTTTAAATTTCTTAGAACTCTTTAAATGTCACTGGATTATGATCTCACAGCTCTACATGACTAATCTAAGAACACTATCCCCAGTACAAACTGTACTCCCTCTCATCTGTCTTCCTCCACAAAAATCCATTCAAGCTTACAGTGAAATTTACCAGCTGTAACACACTTTTTGGTTGTTTGTTTGGGTTTTTTTCTGCATTGTGCTCTGTCACTAATAGATAAAATATTCCTAAATTCTTTCTTTCTTACAGGCCATGTGGCCAATTCTTTCTCCACACAGTTGTAATTTCTTGCCATTTTAATACTTTATATATCTGGCTGTATAACCTTTTGTATCTTCCCACTCCATCTTGCCTAGACCATTACTGCTAGTTTTAAGAGAGGCAAAGCGAATGGTGGAAAAGGGAGCTCTAACAGGTTGTAGGAAGGTGCGATGCTGTGCCCTATCCACATGTCTGCTGTCTGGATCCAGATGGGTGAGAAGAGAAGCTATCCTGCAGTAGTTTTATCCATGTTGTTAAATTCTGCTGATTATGTCCTCATTAAGAACCCTTGTGAAACATTTTTAAAACTCAGCATTTGTGATGGCAATTTTTTTTTTTTAAGTAGGTGTGGATTATTAGGCAGTGCTTATAGAACAGGACACTAGCAAGTGATTTTGCAGTAGGAAATGAAGACAGCTCACATTGGACATTAAGAAATGTGGGTATAGCTGCAATTCATCTAGTAATTTAGCAGACGTATAAAGAAATAGGCTGTTTCTGGAGAAAAGCCAGGCTGTCTTCAGGACACAGTAGATGTACAAGATTGTAAACTAGGGGGCCTGGGGAACCTGGCTCTGCTGTATCACACAAAGGTTTACAGAACTACCTGCAAGTGTGTGTCAGCCCATTACAGTTCTCCAGTCCTGCTACAAGATCCAGCTTGGTGACAGGAGCCAGCCCCTGTTCAGCCCCTGAGCCAAGTGAAGGGCACAGGACCCCTGAAAGGGTGCTGAGTGGGAGCTGGTGGTCTCCTCCAATATTTCAGAATTAAAGTGTTACATTTTGGAACAAGAAACTTGGAGATTTGTTTATTTTGCCCTGTGCCACTTCTGACAGCCAAACAGCCTATTCTAATGCTGCAGAGGGTGACAAAACTGATTGATTGCTTTAGACTGAAACAAAGATCCTGCTGTAATTTAAGAAAATATCAGAATCAAAGTAATGGCTTATAAAATGTCAACAAACCTGCAGTCACACTAATGCTATTGTATGATACATGTTTGTGTGAGAAATGTATAATTACTCAACTCCAAATTATATTGCAGATGAAATGTCATTTCCATGAGTCTTTGTTTTTGTAATATAGCTTTATTAAATACAATCAGGATTTAATGTACAAAGTGTAAAAATAATTTGAATTTGAAATATATACAATACTGTACATGTGCATTTAGTAGCATTTTCAGGGGTTTTGTCTTTGTAGCATTCTGCGGGCTGGTAACGAGTCTTCAGGTTCCTTTGTGTCTTTCTGAAGAGCCTCAGCTACTTTAGAACTGCTTTTTGATGAGTTATTTGCCTCCCCAGTAGACCTGGAACTATTTTTGGGTAAAAGATCATCAGATAAATTAGTAGCTATTGTACTGCTGTTTTCATTTACATAATCAATCTTTTCTTCTCGTAAATTATTCATGAGTGCTTGTGTATTAATCATTGCAAGTTCTTCATCAGCAACCAGGTCATTCTCAGGAAGACAGACAGTTTCTCTCAATTTTCTACAGGGGGTGACATGAGCAATATTCTGATTTGTTTCTTTTGATGACTTGCTACGCTGTAAACCCAAACTTCGTGGAGGCTGAAATGCTTTTTTTAAAGATGGAGAAAATACTGAACACATTGGTGGCAGTGGTGGAGGAGCAGGTATACAACTGAGGAAGTCCATAGCTTTTCTCTTTTTGCTGTTTTTGGGATGGTCTTCATTGATTGTAGCAGATGAAGGTGTTTTTACTGACCCTTGTGTGACAAGTTTCCTATTCGGTGTGCTAGTTGACAAAGGGCTTGGATGCTTTATTTCAATTTTGGAAGAGATCTAGTTAAAAAGAAATAAGTTTTATGTTGACTAGAATGTCCTATTTCATTAGCTTCCTCAAATTACTTCCACAAAATGGGGGGGGGGGGGGGGGGGGGGGAAGAGCA